TTCAAACCCCGTTTCAGTCTCTGAGCTGATGGTGCAGAGCCTGCTTGGGATTCTCTCTCCCCCCACCTCTCTGCCCCTCCCCTGCTCCTGCTCTCTGTCTCTCAAAATAAATAAATAAATTTTAAAAAATAAAATCAAATCTTGACATAGACCCAAAAGGAGACTGTATATATTTTAAAATTTCTCCCTTATATTAGTTTGGAGGATTATAGTAACTTTTTAAAATGTGTGTATGCAAATGGGCTAAGTTATATATGAATTTTATGTTAACACAGCAAAGAGGGTCTTACAAAACGTATTATATAAAGGGTGTATTGGCAGGAGACTTCTGCCTATGGCTGAGTAGGCAGATAGTAAACCCTCTCCCCTAAAAGCAATTGTGAAGCTGGACAAAACTGATCAAAACAACCACGTAGTGCTCTGCACATCCACCAAAGGCACAGCACACTTGGAGCAGTATTTGTGCTTGAAAACCAGAAAATTGGGCAAGAACAGTGAGTGTCGGTGGCATTCCTGCCAGACGCTGCCCCAGCCCCTCCTCCCAGCTACAAGCACAGGGTCCCACTAGTGCGGGGCAGTTTCTCTGCTTCGGCTAACAGGGAATCACTGGATTGGGGGCAGGGAGTGGCACCCACCCTTGGCACCCTTGTAGGATGAAGTGAAAATCTCCAAGGCAAAAAGCACAAGAGCTACCAGCTCCACCAGACCGAGGCTGCCGGCTGTGCTTGGGGCAGATACACTCCTGGCTAAAGCTGCAAGCGTGCAGTGTGCAAACCACAGAAGACCCAGGCCAGCCGCATGCTCCTGGCGGACCCCTAGGCTGTGCGTGTGGGAAAGATGAGAAAGAGTGCAGCAGGAAGTAAAGGATAGGAAACATGGAAGTGGCCTGAGCTGTGAGTGTGTTCCTGTTATCTGCTGCTTCTAAAATGGTTCCCAGCTATCCTCACCTCCTGGGATTAGTGCCCAATGTAATCCTCCCTTTGGGTGAGGCCAGCAATAGTGACCGGCTTCTAATAAACAGAATGCGGCAGAAGTGATGGCTGTCACTTCCGAGGCTAGGTTATAAAAGAATGGCTTCTGCCTTGCTCTCGTTCTCTCTCTGGTTCTTCTCCCCTGCTGCTCTGATGAAGCCAGCTGCCATGTGGGGAGCTTCCCTGTGGAGAGTCGCACGTCACACGAGACTGACGATGGCCTTCTGCCAATGGCCAGCAAAGGAAGAACTCGGTTCAGTGAGCTGCAAGGAACCAGTCCTGCCAAGAACCAGATCAGGAACTTGGAGGTAGATCCTCCCCCAGTCAATCCTTCAGATGGACTGGCTGTAACCTGGCCCACACCCTGATGTGAGCCTGAGTCAGAGGACCCAACCAAAGTACACGCAGAATCCTGACCCATAGGAACTCCGCACAGTAAACTGTGCAAAAATAAATAATAGTGCAGCAATAAGAGAGATGATACAGCCCCCTATCCACACAGACTCCTCAGCAGATGGCAGAGAGCTTACTGGCTTGAGGTATTTGAGCACAGTCTCTGCCCAGTCAGATATGCAGACACAGGAGCAATGCGTAGGAAGCTAGGCTTAGATATAAAAACAAAAATACAAAAAATTTAATGAGAAACTTCAGTGGCTTCACACCATCAGGAAGACAGGGATTCCCAGACAGGATTCTGATTCACAGAGCCTGGATAAGTTACTAAACAGAAAAAAATGGGAAAAAATAGCAACAGTAAACCTGGCAGGAATCAGAATCCAAAGTTGCTACAATATTTCTTAATGTCCAGTTTTCAACAAAAAAATTACAAGATATGCAAAGGAACAGGAAAGTGTGACCCACGCTTAGGAAAACATTTGTCAATAAACCCTGTCTCTGAATGTTCCCAGATGTTGGATTTAACAAAGACCTCAAATAGCTACTACAAATACAGCAAAGATTTGAAACAAATAATGCTTAAAATTTTAAATGAAAGTATGACAACAATGAGTCAACATAAATTCTTTAAAAAAATGTTTTTTTAAATTTATTTTTGAGAGAGAGAGACAGCGTGAGCAGGGGAGGGCCAGAGAGAGAGGGAGACATAGAACCCGAAGCAGGCTCCGGCCTCTGAGCTAGCTGTCAGCACAGAGCCCGACGCGAGGCTCAAACCCATGAACCGCGAGATCGTGATCTGAGCCAAAGTTGGACACTTAACCAACTGAGCCACCCAGGTGCCCCCATAAATTCTAAATAAGGAAGCAGAGATTATTTTTTTAAAAAGATAAGTGAAATAGAAGAATTTTGTAACAAAGGAATAGTATGTCAAGGAACTCTAATAAATTAATTTTTAAGTGACCCAATTGAAGAGAGCTAAGTATATTTTTATTTTTTCTAACAAAATAACTATCAGTTACTTTCATTTTGTAGCAATCTTAATTTATCTGTGCAATTTATACAAGGGTTTTAAAAATTTTTTTGTTTGTCAACATTTATTTATTTGTCAGATTGACTAACATACAGTGTGTAAGGTGTGCTCTTGGTTTTGGGGGTAAGAGGTAAAAAATGGGTGATGGGCATTGAGGAGGGCACTTGTTGGGAGGAGCACTGGATGTTGTATGTAAGTGATGAACCACAGGAATTTACCCCAAAAATTATTTTTTTAAAAAGAGAAATTCTGGCATTGAAAGTATAATTGAAATTAAAATTATACTATAAAGACTCAAAAAAAGATTATACATGGCCAAGGAAAGAATCAGCAAACTTGGAGATAGATTGATGGAAATGATCCAATCTAAGGATCAGGGGGTGGGAAATGATTGAAGAACAGTGAACAAAAGTTTGGAGCCCAGTGATACAACATTAAGCACATCAACAGATGTGTGATGAGACTCCCAGACATAGGAAGAGAAGGGAACAGAAAAAAAAAATGGAAAAAAGTGGCCAAGATATTCCAGAATCTGACAAAAAACATTAAATACATTATCCCCAAAGTTCAAGAAGCTTCAAGGAGGATAAATACAAAGAGATCCACACCCAGACACATCAGAGCAAGCATTTAAAAGACAAAACAGGCTCCTGGGTAGCTCAGTCATCTGACATCGGACTTTAGCTCAGGCCATAATCTCATGATTCATGAGTCTGAGCCCCCCATGGAGCCTTGTGTCGGGCTCTGTGCTGACAGCTCAGAGCCTGGAGCCTGTTTCAGATTCTATATCTGTCTCTCTTTCTCTGCCCCTCCCCCATTCGCACTCTGTCTCTTTTTCAAAAATAAAAAACATTTAAAAAATGTTTTTTGTCATTAAAGACAAAAACAGAGAAAAAATCAGCAATAATAATAATATATTTATTTATTTTATTTATTTATTAATAAATATTAATAAAATTTAATAAATTAATAATAAATATTAATTTAATTAAATAAATATATTTATTATTATTATTATAAAAAGACTCCTATGTGTAGAGGAGCAATGATGTAATTACCAGCTGATTTCCCATATAAAACAGTGGAGAGCAGAAGGCAGTGAAATGGCATATACAAAATCCTAGGGCAAAAATTGTTACCCAAGAATTCTATTATCTGGCAAATGTTTCTCCAAAAATAAAAGTAAAGACATTTCCACACACACAAAGACTAATAGAATTCATTGCTAAAATCCTGCAAATATATTTGTAAAATGAACGAAGCCAGATACGAAAGACTATATGTGTATGATCCCATTGATATAAAACTCTAATGGACAAAACAAACCTGTGAAATTACAAGTTAGGATCGTGTTTACCCTCAGAGGGAGACCCTGACCAGCCGGAACTTTAGGGAGGAATTCTAAGGAAATTGTTACACAGATGTCTTCATTTGAATTTGGTACATTTTTTTCTTTATTTTTAAAAATTAGATTTCTTTTTATTTTGTTTTTTTTTTTAAGTTTATTTTGAGAGAGAGAGAGAATGAGTGAGCAAGTGAGGGAGGGGCAGAGAGAGAGGAAGAGAGAGAATCCCATGCAGGCTCCACACTGTCAGCACAGAACCCCATGCGGAGCTCAAACTCACAAATTACAATATCATGGCCTGAGCTGAACTCAAGAACCAGATGCTTAACTGACTGAGGAACCTGGGTGCTCCTGGCACATTTGTTTATACACAGTTTTCTTCAATAAAACTTTACTAACACAAAAAAGGAAGCTTGATCGTGTCAGTCCCTTCCCTCTTTATGAATCCCTTCATTGTTTCCCCCCCTCCTTCCCAGTCTGAGCAAACCTGTGACTTCTAAGGTCCTGTCTGGTCTGGCCTTTGCCCACCTCTCCAGCATCATTTCTCACTACCTGGTACTCTAGGTTTGGCCCTTCTGTTAAACTTCAAGTCTGCATGCTTCCTTCCTGCCACAGGGCCTTTGTACATGCTCATCCCTCTGGCCCAGAGCCCCCCTGAGACCTACTTAACCTTTAGCTCCATGCTTGGGTGAGTCGTGACCCTCCCACCCTCCATCCAAATCTAGTTCTTTTGTTTTGTCTAGTTCACAGAATTACATTTCTTTCCTTCAGAGCACTCATTTTTTATTTGTCCTTAAAGATTCATAGAACAATAATTTGCTGCTTTGTCTTTCCCACTAGCCCATATGTTTTAGGAGGTCTGGCTATGTCATTTTGAACTATAACCCCAGCACCATGCTGGGCACATAGTAGGGATCTGATAACTATCTGTTCAATGAACATAAAAGTAACTGAGGCTATAAAAATCTTCATTCTAATTAGAGCACTTTGTGGAAAGCCTGGATACCAAACTAAGGAATTTAGATTTTTTTTATAGGCTACAGGGAGTCATTGAAGTTTTTTGAAAAAGGGAGGTATGTGAATTAAGGGTTGTTTAAGATCTCCACAAAAGTAGAGGAGGAGAGGCTGTGGCAGAGTCCAGATAAGAGACGGTGCCTGCAGAGAGGCAGTGCCCATGTGAGGCAGCCAGTGCTGCGCCCACCCTGACCCTGCAGGCCAGCCTGACAGTGACCTCACAATCACCCCTAGACCTCCCACCCTTGAAGACCAATATCCCAGATGCTGGCCCAAGTTCACATCCTCAAGGCCACCCTTTTCCACCTGAGGCCCTCCAGGCCAGCCACCAGAAACGGGGGGTTCCACCTGCCCACCCCAGGCACAGCCAAGACCTCAGAATGACAGAGAGATCAGAGCTTCTAAAGGATTCACTGCCCACGGAGAGGAGGTCCACGTGGCGGACCGCGGAGGAGAGGCGGATGTCCGACCTCACGCGGGTGCTGGAGTGGCTGCAACGCAGGCAGGGGAAGAAAAAGCAGGCTTTCCAGGTGTGTACTGGTGGGAAGACTCGTGTGGAAGACCGACTCGGCGCTATTACAACAGGGGAGACATGGAACCAGAGGCCCCGGAAACAAAAGGCAGGCAGAGTGTTAAGCACTGGATGAACTAACAGAGAAGCCCTCGGGGCAGAGGGGCGGTTGTTGAGGTGGTTAGGCGGCTGTGCTCACTGTCACTCAGGTAGTGAGCTCCCTACCCTCCCACAGAGACCCTGAGGAGGGGGTGCAATCTTTCCGGGTGATTTCCTTTCGAAGGGATGGGTTCCTGGTCCTTGAGAAACATATTCCTGGATTCTGAAACTGGTGAGAGGCTGGAAGAAGAAGATTTACATCGCAAAGGGGCAGGAAAAGAATTTACAAGTGCCAGTTTTCTAAAGGAAAAGGAAAGAGAGGTCCTGGGTGCAGAGCCAGGAAGGAACCTCTCTAGTTTAATCAGGGTGAGGGGAGCATGTCTCAGTCAGCATTCCAGAAGAGCTTAGGGACAATAGCTTCTAAGATCTCCGGGGTGGCAGACTGGGCCCTCCCCACTGTCCCCAGAAGCTTGCATCCGGCTCCAGGGTCAAAGGTCCTTCAGTCTCCACTGCTGCTATCCTGCGGGGACTCCTGCTAACATACCTCCTGCTTTCTACCCAGCATCTCAATGAGTTCTAATCCACTGGTCTTGGCCATCCTCCGCTGAGTGACAGAATACCATAGACGCAGTGGCTTATAAACAACAGAAGCCAATGCCTCCCAGTCTGACAGGCTGGGACATCCAAGATCAAGGTGCTGGCAGATTCAGTGTCTGATGAGGGCCCGTTTCCTGCTTCATAGATAGCAACCTTCTTGCTGTGTCCTCACAGCAAGGAAGAGATGGGAGGGCTCTCTGGGGTCTCTTTTATCAGGGTGCTAATCCCACTCATGGAGGCTCCACCCTCATGACCCAACGCCTCCCAAAGGCCTCACCCCTAACACCCCTGTCACTCTGGGAGTCAGAATTTCAACATGCGAGTGGGGGGAGGGGAGGAGAGACACCATTCAGCCTGTAGCATCGCCCTCTCTCTCTCTCCAGCAACTATGGCAATCAGTTTTGCCTCAGTTTCCCCCCAGTACCACCATCTATGGAAAACCAAGCCATGTCCTTAGAAAGTGTTCTCTTCTGTGGAGGATGCCCCCTGATCTTGAATTCTCCGACCCCCAGAGAAAAATGAGTGATGAAAAATGGCATTACGTAGGACAATGCTAAAGCTTATTAAGCATTTACTGTGTGCCTGGCCCCATGCTTAGCATTGCACACGAGTTGTCTTGTCTAGTGCTCCCAGCAGAGATGCAAGGTGCGCGCCATTCCAACCCCTCAGCGGAAGTGAGGTAATAAGGGAGTCCAGTGAGGTGCAGGGAAGCAACCTGCCTGAGCTCACAGAATTAACGAAGGGCCAAGCCAGGGCTCAGACTTACCCAGTTCTCTAGCTCATGGGCTTTGCCAGGTCAACTCCCCATAACCTCCTCCACTTTCTCTGCCCCCGTTACTAAAGTGGGCCCTGCCTTTCCAGAAAGTCCCCCACCATTTATGTACTTGCTTATCATGCCTCTACAGAAAGGTCTGGAATGCCAGTTCCCTCAGACATACTAAAACACACCTGAGAAACATATTTTACATTAAGATGCTAATGATTCATGGGTTGTCAACCCTCCTGGCCCCCCATTTCGATTGCTGGGTCGCTCAGAACTCAGTATCAATCACAGAGATTTATATTCCCTTCTGTGAATTCACTTCTACATGCTATGTGCCTCTTCTCATGAAGATTATATTCTAATGTTTTCACGGCTTTACCTTTTATGTGGCTTTTACTGGAAGTAATTTTGGACTCGCGGAGGGAACAAATTTAAATTGAAAATACAACGAAATCTTCAAGCATCTTTATCTTTCCCAGAGGCACCCGGATTTTGGAAGAAGCTTGGCAGGTCCCAGAGAGCACGCGGGAAGGGGGTGGGACACAGTAAAGGCGGCTGGAGGGGGGCTGCCTGTGGCCTCCTCTCCCTTCCCCTGTCATTCATGAAGTTCTCACAATAACCCTAGGAGATAGATCCTACTATTGCCCGTCTTCAGATGAGGAAACCAAGCCGCGGAGAGAGCAGTCGCTTGCCCCAGGTTGCTCAGTGCGCAGCAACAGCGCAGGATTCCCACCCGGCGTCCGACCTGGAGGCCAGCCCCAGCCCCAGCAGCACGCTGCGAGACCCGGCTGATTCCGTTTTCCCTGAGGGCCTCCAGCACCCCCACCCCTCGTAGGCTGGCTTGGATGCCCCTCTGTGGGGCCCTCCCCGCCGCCCCAGGGGGTAGGAGCCTGGGCATGCGCGCAAAGAAGTCCACAGAGGCCCAGAGGAGCTCGAGGGAAAGGGAAGGGCGCGGTGAAGTCCGATGACCGGATGGGGAGGGCTTGGGAGAGGAGGGAGATCTGCGGACAGAGGGCGTGTTCTGGCTGGACTCCAAGACAGGGCAGCCTTCCCGTGGCTTCAGCCTGGAGGCCGTGGCAGGGAAGTAGCAGCTACGCAGGTCATTTGGGGGCCAGGTCATTTGGGGGGCCACTAAGCTGGAGAGAGGGGCCAGAGTGGAGTGATCATAGGGAGCTAGTGATGGGTTCTGAGGTGGGGAGGGGGCAGCCAGACCTGGGATTCAGAAGGTCATTCTCTGGGAGCAATGTGACATGGACATCAGGGCATGTCTGGAGACAGAAGAACGATTGTGGGGGACATGGGGGGGACAGAAGTGCCAGAGTGGGGGCAGCCAGATCTAGAGCTCCCGTCTGTGGGGGCCACCACAGTCCAATCCTCTCTGTCTTTAAAAAACAGAAATCCAAGTTGGCGGTGCCCCCTAAAACAACGGGGAAGGAAGAAAAGAAAGGCCACAGCATCCCGAAACCCCAGAAAGGGAACCGCCAAGTAGCCTTCTCCGAGAAGGTAACGCAGGCTCCGCCCCTGCACAGTACCTGGCTACATTTTGTTTCAGTTTAACGCTCTGAAATCCACCCCTGCTCCACACTAACACACAAATGAATCACCCCTGACTTTCACCAGGAGGCATCTTCTTCCTCTCGGCCCTCCCCAGACCATTCAAGGATGCCAGCCGAGGGGTGGAGAGGGAGAGCACCCAAGCCTAAGTGCCCCCCCAGCCCCTAAGGGCTGTGGCTTCTGTGACCCCGCATGGCCTCCCTCTGAGACAGCAGGGTCCAAGCGTGGCGTGTGGGTGAGTGGGTGCCAACACGCCACCCGGCCTCCACCTTCCCCGGGCCCAGAGCAGTCTGTCCTTTGGCCCCTTTGCCTGCCTTTCTGCAAACCCCTGAAGTCACTCATGTTGAGGGCAGAGGAGGCCACACAAGTCCTGTTCCTCATGGTGAAAGTTCTTTCCCCGCCCCCTTCAAGAAGATCCCCGAGCAAGGCCCCAAGAAGGACAAGGACCAAAAAGTCTATGGCATGGACCCCAAGGGAAGACGCCTCAGCATGGTCCCTGGCAGCTACTCAAGGGACAACCCCCGGAAATCCGGTAAGGGGAGCCTCCTACCATAAGATGGGACGATGGGACGCCAGAATCGTCCTCCATAACTGCCCACCTCTCAGGGGGACGAGAAGCCCACACTGTTGTCACAGCAGCAGCATCCACACCAGCCCGGCAGCCCCAGGCCGTGTGGAGCCCCCCCTGGCTCTCTGGGGATCACACCACAAGCTGGCTGTGACCTGGATGTCTCTGCTCTGCCCACACGGGGGGTTCTCTTCTCATGATGCCACTCTTCTCAGGGTGTACCCCAGGTTCCTAAAGCCAGTTCGGTGACTGCAACCTCATGAGCTCCAGGTCATCTCACTAGTTTAGGTGCTGTGATGACGTCACTGTGCACCCAGGTACCACCCCTGCTGGCCTGAAACCTCCAGGTGTCGCTCACACCCAGGAAGAGGTAGGCTCACGTCATGCCAGGCCCCCAGTTCCCCAGGCCGCCTGGCTTCGACCCTTGGCTCTACTGCTCTGTAGTGAACTTGGACTTGTATAATCTGGAGGGAGTCACTCCATCTGTGGGGGCCAGTTTTCACAGCTAGAATATGAGACAATAACAGGACTTGCCTCACAGCAGGGTTTTAGTGAGATGAGGCATATAAAGCAGATAGCCTGATGCATAGTAGGTGCTCAATAAATGGTGGCAAAGTCTCAGGTGGGCTGTACCATGGCGCTGGAAAAACAGTGGCATTGATTGTGCCTGGCTTCTTGGAAAGGAGGTGTCTAGTAAAAGAAAGGGGAGGAGTGGGCGAAAGCTTTGGAGTGGCGGCTGCCAGGCCGCCTGCCCAGCACTGCTCCCATCATGCCCAGCAAAACTCCCTCCTTTCCATTTCATTGAACACACCAACGCCATCGTAACCCAACTGCACTCACTTGCCCATCAGGTTTTCAGTATGACTGGCACTAAATGCAGTTCAGTGTTCTGGACTGAATCCTAGAACAGCACTTTAGTGGGAAAAGCGGTGAAATCCAAAGAAGCTGTTATGTGCCGATGTTAATTTCTTAATTATCTTCTGACAAATACACCCTGCCTGTGTTGTTAACAGGAGGAGAAGCTGAGCAAGAGTGTCCAGGAGCTCTCTGTGCTATCTTTGCAACTAGGTTGGCATAGGCCGTCTGGGAGGCGCCACGCCTTTCCTGAGTTTTCTGTGACTCCCAGGGTCAAGTCTGGCTCCTTGCTGGCCTCTGAGCAGCTGCAGATCTCCATTCCCGTGGTTGTTCCCTGTGCCTCCAGAGCAGACCCAGCCCCACGTCCTTCATTTCCCCCCACACCTCTCACCGGAAGCCTTTGTGTGTAAACAGACTTTACTGAAGGTTGGGGGCAACTAAGGAAAAGAATTTCATGGCAGAATTCTACAGAAAACAAACCAGAAGTTGATTACAAATCCCCCTTAAGGGTTCTTCCAAGTCCTTTGTCCCCAGCACAGGAGCTAGAGGGAGCCCAAGCCTGGCACCCAGGCACAAGATTTAAGGAGCCGCTCACTCTCTGGTGCCGACTCTGCACTTGCGGGAACCTGAGATTGAACACCTCCTTAAACTTTGCCCCCTTGGGCACTTTGCTGGTCTCACTCTGCTCCTGGGCCTGCCTAGCTCCCCCCTCTTCTTTGTTTTTCCTCTCCCTCCATCCTCTGCTTTCCTCGCCCCACAATTCCCATTGGCTTTTTACTTGGAAGGATCACTTAATTTCCTTTGTTTCACAGTCTTAGTCCACACTCAAAAGGAGTCTATCAAGATAATTTCCTAAACAAAGGCAGTTCCTTCCGTAAGAGAAACTCACACACCAGCTAATAAAACAACCCTTGTCATAACACCGCCCAAAATGCCAGCAGTTCTTTGATTCTCTGCAGTTCCCCCGCCCCAGCAAGACAAATCCACCCAGTTTAAAGAGGGGAGGTTTTCTTCCGCCTGATGTAATACTACAAATAGCCACTGGGGGGCAGCAGGTGCTCAGAGGCACCCAAGAAGCACCTGGACATCCAGGTGTGGCACCCAGGCACTGAATCAGGGATGAGCCTGAGCACAGCAAGGGGAGCTTCCTGCACAGCCTAGCAAGAGCCTAAAATGAATGGGCACCATCTGCTTTTGAAGTCAAGTGCAAGACAAAGCAACCCCTAGGAAGGGCATGGAGCCAGTTAAGGACTATGGCAAGAGTCCAAGTGGAGATAGATATGGAGATCAAGTAAGGGTATTCTAGACCAGGACTTCTGGTCCTGGTGTCTCCTGGCCCCACTCAGCACCTGAATTATTGGTGTCCTTGTCAAGAGCCAGATCCCCTGGGTATCCCGGGTTCCCTGTCTGCAGAGTGAGGCCTTTGCCCTCCTGATGCCATGTTTCTGTGTGATCTGGTGAGCAAGAGTCTGTGGGAAATGGCCATCAGATGCTCTCCACCACCGTCTGGACTAGGATGTGGCCGCTCAGTCTTACAGATACAACTACCCCTCCTCCACGTTTTTAGCGTTGTGATGGCCACAAAATCAAAATCTGTGACGCACCATGTGTTCTGAGTGACACAGAACCGTCCCTAGCTCCAGAAACCCAAAGCCAACAGAAAACAGCAGTGACAGCCCCCGTGTGGAGCCCTGTGCTTTTCAACGCAGACCACTTCATCTTTGTCCCCCTCCCCATTTTCACAAAAGCTCCCATTCACTCCTCTCAACAGCTGAAATGCCACCCCCAGCCCGCCAGTGACCACCACGCTGTCGCACCCAGGAGGCGCCAGCCTGCTGCCATGCTGCTGCTGTGGGCCCCGGGCTGCTCCCTTCCCTCCACCCTTGAACTATCTGAAAACACTTTTCCCCTTTCTCTTTCACCAGCCCCCTTGACCCGCGTGGAGGGCCACCGACGTTGGCTTTGAATTTGTAAAATGTCTCTCTGGCTATGGTCCCATAAAAGGCCCTTGGAAAGAAATTGGAGCACTTTCCAAAGTAAATCTTGGCAAAGTCTGAGCCGGCTAGACTAGGAAAGGGGAATTCACTTGGCTTTCTCTCCCTGGGCATAGGAGCAGTGCACAGATCCCAGAGCAGGAGGGCATTCCTCATGCTGAGGGCTAGAGGGCAGTGATACCCTCTGTCTCCATGAGCACAGAGTCAGCCCTCAGAGCCCCAACTACAGCCCAGCATAAATCTAGCTGTTCAGCCACGGACTCAGGAATGTGGCTCATCTTTGCCCAGATGGTAGCCAGGTCGGGAGCCCAGAAAAAGAGACCAATGACCTGGGTTCACATTTTCCTAGATCCATCACTAATTGACGTCTTGGGCACATGACTTAATCTCTCTGATCCTCAGCTTTCTCATCTGTTAAATGGACATGATATGGTTGTGCGCCTGCATTGGCTTCCACTCTAGGACGCTCCTTGAACACTGCCTGGCACAGATGTCACTCGATAAGTTTCAGACATACGTTTAATTATTATTACCATTTACTTTACTACTCTTCTTTTTCCTACATGAGACTTACCTTGACCGAGGTGATGTTCAGATACCTCCGAAAAAGCTATGCTTCTTTCTCCAAGGGATTTCCCACTTACGCTGGTGGGGATATGCAGCTCATGATTCTTCTGGAACATAGCACCAATTTTACTATGCATCAACAGGGACTGCTAAGGCCATGGGACCGGGGACCTGCTGTCAGTGCAGAGCACCCTACTGCACGTACAGAGTCCCAGTTCAGCCACTAACTCATATGAGACCTTGCACAGTGTGCCTCTTTCCAGACAGCTGTCCCTGTATTTATATAACTGTGTGAGGTCTAGAATCATTCCCCCTCAACAGAGCCCAGTAAAATTCCCGAACTTTCTTTCTTCTTTTTTTTTTTTTTTTTTAAGCTTTGGACAGTCCAATCTGAGACAAGTTCTAGCAAAGCAGTTTTTTTTAAATATTTTTATTTATTTCTAGGAGAGAGACAGAGTGAGCAGGGGAGGGTCAGAGAGAGAGGGAGACACAGACTCTGAAATAGGCTCCAGGCTCTGAGCTGGCAGTCAGCACAGAGCCCGACGCAGGGCTCGAACCCACGAACCGCGAGATCACGACCTAAGTGAAAGTCGGACGCTTAACTGATTAAGCCACCCAGGCGCCCCCGAACTTTCTTGATGAGAGCTTGCAGGCTTACGGGAAGAAAAATCTACTCACAAAGGGAAAAAGAAAATGCTCTAGGTGAGAGCAAAGGCACCAAACAACCAAATAACTGGTTTACAGATCAGAACCTAGATACACTTAAAATCAGGCTTAACACGGAAAGACTGAAAACAAAAGAATAGTCTGAGAGATAACAGGAAATACAAGTAAATGAGGTGGAATTAAGGCTAACAAGAAACATGTCAGGTAAAAGAGGGATACTTTTAAATGTGAAAGAGAATAAGTAATAATCCTAAGCCTACACACACCAAAAAATATAGTAGTTGAATAGATAGTTATTGAGACCTGCAAAGAGAACATAACAAAAACACAAGTAGAGTGGGAGATTTTAATATGCCTCTTTTATTTCTTTATATGTCTCTTTTTGGATCAAATAGACATAAGTTTATATTGGAACAGAGAACGCATTTTTATGTGGCTAAAAAGTATCTACAAAACTCATCTTCATTTTCATCTCAAAGAAAACGTTAACATTCACAAAGTAAAGATCTTAGGGCCACCAGCATTATCCTGAAGCAATAATTAGAAATAACATTTAAATTAAAAGATACTCCCAACTCAACAGTCAGAAATGAAGAAATACACTCCTAAAATACCCTGTATCAGAGGGGAAAAGAATTCATGAAAATAAGCCCGTTTCTTACCAAAACCTATGGGAACAAAGGCAGAATCTAGCCTTAAAAGGAAATTTATTTTAAAAACTAAAACTAATAATTCTTGCCTGTGTAACACAAAAAGATGAAAGAAAAACTAATACTTTTAGCAATTCATTATTTACAAGAAGATAGAAGAAATAATTTGCGTGAAAAAGAAAGCTTTATTCCATTAAATAAATACCAGCTGAGATTAATCAAACCCAAGCTAAAAAACAGTTAAAAGGCCCAACCCAAAGCTGGCTTTTTAAAATGCAAACGATGAGGGGCGCCAGGGTGGCTTAGTCGGTTAAGCATCCGACTTTCGCTCAGGTCATGATCTCGCGGTTCGTGGGTTCGAGCCCCGCATCGGGCTCTGTGCTTACTGCCAACTCAGAGCCTGGAGCCTGTTTCAGAGTCTGTATCTCCCTCTCTCTCTGACCCTCCCCTGCTCATGCTGTCTCTCTCTCTCTCTCTCCTAGAAATAAATAAAACATTTAAAAAAAATAAAAAAAATAAAATGCAAATGATGAGTAGTATGAACTTCTCATGACCATTGTTAAAAAGAAGAGTAGGGGCACCTCAGTGGCTCAGTCAGGTAAGCATCTGACTACTCTTGGTTTCTGTTCCGGTGATGATCTCACAGTTGGTAAAATAGAATTGCCTGCACTGAGCACAGAGTCTGTTGGGGTTCTCTCTCTCTCCCTCTCTCTGCCTCTTCCCTTCCTGCATGCTCTCTCTCCCTCTCCCCCCACAAAATAAATAAATAAACTTCAAAAAAAAAGAGTAAAAATGTAGAAGATTTGATACAGAGAGAATATGTAAGCAAAGATGGGAAATACGTGAACTGAGCTGTAATAGAATACTATATGCACCTCTATCCGATTACATTCAAAAACCTAGAAGAAATAGATCATTTCCTCTCATACTATAAATTATTAAAATTGATATCATACGGGCGCCTGTGGTGGCTCAGTCAGCTGAGTGTCTGACTTTGGCTCAGGTCATGATCTCACGGTCTATGAGTTTGAGCCCTGTGTTGGGCTCTGTGCTGACAGCTCAGAGCCTGGAGCTTGCTTTGGATTCTGTGTCTCCCTCCCTCTCTTCCTCTCCCCTGCTCATTCTCTCTCCCTCTCTCTCTCAAAAATAAATAATAAACATTAAAAAAATTAAATTGTTATAATAAAGAAACGTTGAGGAAAGCAATTTCTGAAGCAAAAACTGAAAGGTGGTTGACACTTCCCCACTGAAAAAGTCACCAAAACAAAAGACTTCCCACTTGGTTCTATCTAATCTTTTCAGAAACAAATAATCTCCATTATCACTTCAACTATTCTGGACCGTATAACACACAGATATTCTTGCATTAATCCCAGAAGCCACCACAACCACAATATTAAAATATTTGCAAAGAAGTAATATAGATGCAAAATATTTTTTAAATTTTAGCAAATATGCCAAATGTGTGAAAATATATCATCTATGTCAGTGTATGAAATTAACACACCATGACCAAGTGAGATTTCTTACAGCAGTTAGGAAAGGTTAGGTTATCAATACCACGATATCTAAGAACATAATTTATTCCATTAGTAAAATAAAGGAAAAACCATATAAGCATGTCAGTGACAGAAAAGCAGTAAGTAGAATAAAGCACTGATTACTAATAAAAACTCTATGTAAACTAAGAATTATTAAGCTGCTAAATATTATAAAGCACACCAAAAATAGTGGCAAGTATCATTCTAAATGATGAAATGCTAATTATTTTAATTAAAATCAGGAACAAAATGAGGCATGACTGCTCTCATCATCATTGACATTGTGTTAGAACGTCTGTCAAATGCAATATGTCAAGAAGAGCATATAATTTTTCTAAATGTTAGAAGGAAGATATTTTCATTGTTCCCCTGGTATGATCATGCCATGATCATCTCTAAAACTCAAGAGAGTCTAGTAAAGAAACAATAAAATGTTGTTTTGTGGTTAGTGGACTAGAAAAAATACATTGTAAAGCAATAGTCTTTTCTCTATACTAGTCATGCCAGTCAGAAATGGAAATGGGGAGAAAATATTCCCTTCTCATTAGCAAAAAAGAATCTATAAAATACTGAGTGGTAAATTCAGGAGGAAGAAAAATATTAAATTCTCCAAGCATTAGCCCCCATGGTATTTAAATTCAGTCCAAACCCCATATTTGGGTAACATTTGACACTCACCTTTTCATTTCATACATTTGTGTCTTTGTGCGTGCTGTTCCTCCTGCCACACATGCTGTTCCTCATGCCTGCCATGCTGTTCCTCACACCTGCACATGCTGTTCCTCACGCCTGCCATGCTGTTTCTCACACCTGCGCATGCTATTTCCCCTGCCTGCAATACTTTTCTCCCCTTTTCATCTAATCATCTCTTTTTCCTTTAAAAGCCGTGTCAGGGGCACCTGGGTGGCTCAGTCAGTAAAACTTCGCTCAGGTCATGATCTCACGGTTTGTGGGTTCCAGCCCCACATCAGGCTCTGTGCTGACAGCTCAGAGCCTGGAGCCCGCTTCAGATTCTGTGTCTTCCTCTCTCTCTGCCCCTCCCCCACTCACAGTGTCTCACTCCCTCAAAAATAAACATTAGAAAAATTTCCTTAAAAAAATAAAAATAAAAGCCGTGTCAGAGTCCACCTCTGATCTCTTCCCCCGCCTCCTCCAGGCTATGCTCCCTCTAGGTGAGGATGGAGAGAAGGGAAGGTGAGAGGGGGATTAACTGGAGAGAAGGGGAGCGAGCTTCGGGGGGTAGGGGCAGGGAGAAAGGAGGGAGGAAAAGAGAAGGGAGAATTCAGCCAATGCCAAGAAGAGACTGCAAGGCCTTGAAAGGACCTCATATCTCACAAGGGGCCATCCTTTGAAACCCATGCAGACTCGCCAGCCTCACCCCTCCCTGTCCGCCCTGCCTCTCGCCTCTACCAGGCTCTAACTCCCTGCCATCTGTCCAATGTCAGAAATAGAGATCAAGGACACCTTCACCCTGGAGCCCACTCAGCGGCCCATGCCATACCATCGACAGAGCATCCTGGACCCCGTGCTGCAGGACCCTGTCTTTAACACTCGGAGGTCAACGATCTTGAGAGACTGGGTGGTGAGCAGGATGCCCGAGGTCTCCTATGAGCGCAAGCTGAAGAGCCTCATGGAGAAGGGCACCGAGCCCAAGGTGGAGATGGTGAAAATGCTGAAGCCGGAGGAGGTGCTGAGCTGCCGGTGAGCGGCCCTGCTCCAGAGGTCCCCACAGTCTGGTTCAGACAGCTGGGCTGAGCCGGGGGAGGGGAGGCGGCGGTGGCGGGATGGGGTCCGTCCTTATGTCCTGAAGGGCTGATCCAGGGCCGAAGCCGCTGGGCTTCTAGCAGCCTCACCTGCGGGTGGACCAGCCCTTGGATGAGGCACAGCACTTAGGTGCTGCCATTTTGAGGCCACGCCTCTGGACGCTTCCACCACCCTTCTGATACTTCCATAGGTTTCACAGTAGAAACCATGAATATAATCCACAATGAAAGAGTGAGTGGTCTGTGGCCATTTAACAGGAAATTCCTCTAAGGGACTTCACACTGTGGTGTGAAGTTGCTGGTGATAGTAGCCACACTCCCTCCTCGGTTGGCCACCTACTATACGCTGGGGTTTTGGACTCCCGAAGGCACTATGAATAAGAGTGTGAGCCTTTTGCTATTTACCGTTCTTACTAAAGGTTTTCTTTCTCACTAGTTCTTTGTCGTATTTATCAGGACCTGCTGGTTTCCGTCCCCAAATTCAAGCACCCCTCCCAAGCCTGATACTAGCCTTTACTATAAAGATGTAACTGACAAGATTCAGAAACTTCAGTAGAGAAGGAAACGGACAACAGAATAATGTGGATGTCCTTGTAGGCTGAACAGCAGTGAACTCATCTGTAGTCTCAACACTGGCCTCAGATGCCTGGCATGCAGTGACGCCATTACAAAGTCCTTCTCTGCTCACTGACTGGCTGAGAGATGGATGTGTGGAATGGCAGCCTCCCCAACTGAAGGAGACTTCTAGCTTGACCCTTTCCATGGATGGATGACTTTGGCTATGGCTTTCAGTTTGACAGGGTGATTCTAGTTGACTCTGGCCGACAGACAGCCTACCTGGGCTTCATGGTGGGCAGAAAAGAGGTTTGGACAGAGCCTCTACCCTCCAAGGAGGGAGAGAGAATATTTGGAGAGATGGCATCCAACAAGCCATCCAACAAAAAGACGAAATTATCCATAATGGGATCTTAGCAAGTGCTCACATGTATGTTTGTGTGAGATCTTTCAGAGCTGTGGTCAGGGACAGAAGGGGCAGACCCTGACTGGTGCTGTCAGGGAAAAGTGGTCCAGACATGGGGCTTGAGAGTGGGGTCTAGGATGGTTATAAGAAAGGTAAGCTCTGGGCAAATCTTGAAGGAGAGGGAGACCATTCCCAATGGTTATATCAATATCCAGTTCCTCCCCCATCATCTGTAGCAAAGTAAGCAACCAGCAGGTGGCCTGAGTAGGGGGCCAACCTCCTTATACTAAAGCTGGGAACAAGGTCAAGATTGCTGGTAGAATACAGAGCTCTCATCTCTATCTAGATGACAGAGATACCCTCTAGACCACACAGCATAGATAGGATCAATTTCACTCTCCAGTGTAAGTCAGAATTGTGGGGCTTTAGCTAAGATTTTCAATCAATGGCCAAACTTTTAAATTGTTTGAATGATACTATAAGAAAATACTCCCCTTCCCCACAATTTTACTCAGCTTTTATTGCCACTGTTCTGTATTTGGCCCAGGCCTTGGCCTCACTGAGGTTATGCACACCTGGACAGTTGTGTGTCTCCCCACATGGCATAATGGATCATGACCGTCATATCCCACCTGCTTTCCTGACGGCATGTTAGCTTTGGCAGAAGAGTCCTTGGAATGGATATTCTGTTATTTGCTTAACCATTCTTCGCTGGTGGAATTTCCTTTTCCTGTTTTTGATAACCCCAAAGTGGATACTTTGATTTATATAGCTTTTCATCCCCTTGGCTTCTCTTCTTGGGATTCATTGAAGGCTTGAGTGGAGTTCCTGAGTCAAAGATCAGGAACTGTTGGTGGGGAGGGACTTGGGGAACAGGGGCGGAGCCTGGCATCCATGTTGCCAAATTACTTTCCAGAAGAGTTATACCAGTAAAAGCTCCCACCCATTCTGTGAGGTGTCCCTCTCTTTCATAAGATCTCTGTCAGCTCCGGAATGTCCACACGGCCCATTCCCTTTAGAGATCCCACACTGCTTAAGTCTAAGCTCTTTTCAATAAAGTTTGAAGCTATGATGACTCCACCCTCCGCTGACTTCTTTGGCCCTTGTCTCACGCAGATACCTGAGGTTGTCCAAAAACAACATTCGAACCTTGCTCAAGCTGTGCAAGGATGCAGGCATGAACGTGGACATCCACCCCCACATGGTCGAAGGGGAGATAGACGCGAAAAAGGTGTTCGCGCAAATCCCCAGCGTGGCCCTCTAGGCAGCTCCTTCTCCAGGCGGCCGCAGCCTCCTCTGCTGTTGGATCTCTGTCCCCCCAGGTGACATCCCCTGGCACCCCATGCCATCTGACCTGGTGCATCCCTTTTAGACCGTAGTGATCAGAAAACAAGGCTAGACTGCATGAATCAGTGTCCTGAGGTAGCATTTGTCCTTGACCTAAATCAGAACAGACTTGGGGGAGATGGTGGGTTTTCTTGCCACCAAAAGAAGACTCCTTAGAAAGGGCTTCTTATAAAAGGAGTCTTAGAAGGAGCGAGAAATGGAGACCCAGAGTCCCCAGAGGGACATCAGGAAGGGGGACTGGTTGGGGACACACACACACATCACAGGTCTTGTACACCACCCCCACCCACCCCTGCCTATGTGGGACTTGGTTCTGTGGGAGGCTGAATGCCACATCTTCATGGGACTGCTTGGTGCTCCCAGACCCTCAAGTCAGGGACTCCCCTGGGACCCTCGCCGCTTAGACCCTAGGTACTCCCCAGAGAACCTGGGGTTCAGCAGGGATTGGAAAAAAGAGGGGAAATGAATGCAAAGGGGACCTTGCCCCACCCCCACAGCTGCTGCGGCTACCTGGGTGCTCTCCTGGGGTCCACAGGGCTTTCCTCTGGGGGCTCCACAGGCACGGGGAGTCTCCAGTTCAGCTTCTTGACATTCTAACCACATAGCGACAGTGAGCCCCAAAGACAACTTTGAGAAAAGAACATTTATCAGCACCCCCAAGCCAGGGACCATTGGCAGACAGCGCCACCTGCCGCACAGTGTACACTACTGTTTTACAGACTCTGAAATGGCCTCTCCGTTACCTTTCTTAACGGAGTTGTCACCAGATACAGAAACCCGCACACACCGGGAACAGATTCACACGGGTACAGCCCTCCGGCTTATGGCAAAGGTGACATTGTGGTGCGGAGGTGAAAAGACAATCTTTTCAATAAATCAGGCTGGTCAATTAAATGTCCATATGGAAAAAAATATCAACCCTCTGCCTCTCACCAAATGCAAAAATCAGTTCCGGATGGATGCAGATTGTGAAAAGTTTTAGAAGAAACATAGGAGCCAATCTCCATGACCTTGGGATAGGCAAAAAAAAATTTTAACACAAAAAGCCTCAGTAAAAAAATAAAATATTAATACATTATACCGTATTGTAAGTAGAACTTTCACTCTTCAAAAGACATCAGTGAGAGAGTGAAAGGCAAGTGACCCACATGCAAGGAGATAGATCTGACAGAAGGCTCATACTCAGATGATATATTTTAACTCCCATAAGTTAATATGAAAAGGGCAGGTAACATGATAAAAAATGGGCCCAAGTCTTGTGTAGGCACCTCACAAAAGTGTTAGCTGAGTGACCGATAAACATAAGAAATTTCGTTAGTTATCAGGAATGCAAATGAAAAATACAAGGCAAAACCACTAACACTCACCAGAATGGACGATCCAATTATAGTGGAAAATGTAAAGCAAAGAAAACACTCAACATGCCACTGGGATGGTAGCTTGGCACAATCACTTTGGAAACTAACAAGATAAAGTTGCATACACACCTTTGCTGTGGTCCAGGATTCGTCGCTTCATACGTCCTTCACAGGATTGTACAACTATGTGCACCAAAAGACCTCCTAGAATGTCCACAGTGGCTTTATTCAATACAGCCAAATACTGGACTCAACCCAAACATCCATCAGTCGTAGAAAGATTAAGTAGCAGTGTATTCCTGCGATGGAATACTGCATAGAAACGAGAATGAACAAGTATGGGTGAATGAAGCACACAATATCGTGCAAAAATAGCAAGATACAGAAAGGAGGATGGCTGTATGGCTCCCTCTATACAACAGACCCCACCCCAGACAAAAGGAATCTACCGTGTGAGAAGCCAGGATAGCGGTGGCCCCTGGAGGAGAGTGTGTAGTGCCTGGAGGGCACCTGTGGTGCTGATTACACAGGTGTTCACTTGTAGCATTCATTCGCTGTATATTTGGGATTCGTGCCTTTTAGGCAGGGATACATACTTTAATTAAAAGCACATTTTTAAAAAGTATACGAATAAGAGTTCTGGTTTTGTTTGCTAAAAATAATAGCCTCAAAAGTGAAGCAGTTCGGGCCCCCTCCACCTGCGAGGATAAGGTGACTAGGGGATAGAAGCTTCCAGTCCTGGGCATGTAGTGTACATCATGGTGACTTTGGTTAATAATGGGGTGCTGTATATTTGGGAGTTGCTGTATATTTGTATCTTGAAAATTCTTATTACAAGCAAATCACCAGAAACTAATATGTGATGTGTTAATTAGGTCTCAATAAAAAATTAAAATGAGAAAAATTACTTTTAGAAAACAGTAAGAGCCTCAAAAGTGAGGTGGTTCAGCCTCTCCCCCCCCCCCCGATCCACAGCGGTAGTTCCCCCTTAGTGCCACCAGGTGGAGCTCCATCACAGCAGAAGACCTGCACCCACAGAGTGGGGCGTCTGCTGGGAGAGCCGTCAAGCCCAGATGAGGGGCAGCGGAACCCCAGGTAACTGCAGCCTGAGCCCAGAGAGGGTGGGCAAAGCCCAGCTACGCACACACCAGCTGAGGACCCCTGGGCACATCACTTCTCTGAAGCTTCAATTCTTCCCCCAAAATGGGGACAAGAAATGCAATTTAAAACAACAATGAGGTGTCACTTTATACCTAATTAGACTGGAAAATATTAGTAAGCTGGGGAATGCCAGCATTGGCCCAGATACGGAAATAAAGGAGCTTCAAGCCTCGCTGGTAGATAGCACAGGCTTGTTGTGGCCTTTCTTGGTGAAGTCACAGACATCACAGAGACTAGCAGTTCCACTCTGGGGTATATACTTCGAAGAAGTTCCGTCACAGGAGATATATTAGAGGGTGACCCCCCCCCCCAGGGGTTAACAGGTGGTTGGGTGCTGGAGGCTGTCCCATGTATGGGAAGGTGGATGGCAAAACATGATGGATGGAAATGATGGGAAACAGGATAATATGTTACACACTAACCTTCATACAAAATAAAAATACATACAAAGTAAAAATACACACATAAACAATACATTGCTTATAAGAATGTGTAAATACATTAGGACAACTAAAATTGGAGAAGGGGTGAAGGGAAGGAAGGAAGGTAGGAAGGAAGGAGGGAAGGAAGGAAAAGAAAATGTGGACAAGAATACCAAGTTTCTAGGGTGTTTGTGAAATAAGAATCTAAGGAGTTTCTATAGCGTCTCTAGCATTTTGTGGGCACCCAATAAATTATTTTCTACTTGTGCCTTTATACGTTAATATTCCTTCAATGCCTATTGTGTGTTAGGCAATGTACTAAGGTCTGTAATACAATAATCAAACAGACCAAAAAGAAAAATTCCTGCCATCGAGAGCTTTGAGCCTTATTCCACAAACCTGGGTATAAAAGGAATGGCACATCTTCCTAAATCAAATTACTATCAATCCGATTTTGTGCCCTTGCCATGCTGGACCGGTGGGGAATTCGATTTCAGTCAGGGGTGGGGTTCCCTCTGTCAGAGCCCCAGGGCCTGGGATATAGGAGTGCTATGCCCGGGTGCATAGGGCTCCTAGTCCCTGGTGTCAGTCTACACCAGTCACTGCTGAATCTCTGTGGGTCACAGCCCACAAGAGCTCAAAAGTTCCAGATCCATTTGGTGCTGCACTAAGCCAGCTCAAGGATTTCTGCAAGGAGGCCCCAAGGCTGTGAGCCTGCCTTCTGAGAAGGGTCACATGGCCATGGCTCCCAGGACGGACCTGTCATCTCCAGGATGCTACCAGTGTCCAAGATACATCTCCATCACAGCTGTGCCGGGTCCTTTTCCCACGGCTTATGCTTCCTCTGCCCCCAGTCCCAAGGCTACCAGACCAAGGCAGCTGGGCTGTCCGCAGGCACCTTCTGCCCCGGCCTGGCAGCAGAAATGGCCTGTGGATGGTGAGAGAGCTGCTCGCTCTGGGAAGGGAGGGTTGGGAGGGAGGAATTCAGAGAACCAAGCATAAAGAATTCTCAGGCTTTTAAATTCTTCTCCCAGAGTGCAAACAAAACAGAAATTTAAATCACAATAAATAGCCCTGACATCGGTCATATTTCTGGGTTCTTATTTATTCAACACAGTGGTTGAGTGCTTACTGAATGGTGTGTGTTCTAGGCACTTGGGGGCCTTCAGTGAACTGGTGTGATGACTGATAGTACTGTGTGGATGGCGACAGGGAGTCGGCTGTCCCAATTCAGTGTATTTGGTTGCCAGAAATAGTCAATAGGCAAAAAAAATGCATGTATGTGGGTGTACATGTGTATATAATACCTATATGTATGTACATTATGTATGTATTTGTGCACACATGCATGCATATTTATGTGTATTATTCATGAATACAATGTGTGTGCACATGTGTAGATTGCATGCATGTGTGCATATGTTTGTGTGTAAACGTGTTTGTGTGTTCATATGTGTATGTGTACATGTGTGTGTATAATGCATGGTGTGTGTGTGTGTGTGTAGTATCAAGCAGTTTCTAGAAGTAGCCTAACCACTTCCTGGACTTGTATCTCTGCTGGAGACACAAATTGCCGGAAGAGGGTCTGATTGCCATCTCTGGGTCAGGGCCCCCTCCCTCGGCCCAGGGAGGAAGCAGCACCGAGAGAGGCAGTTCTGCCAAACTCATACAAGGGAAGCAGGGTAGCCCCCAAAGGAAACTGAGGTGTGTATTGGTTAGCCACTGCCAGGTAAGAAGTTTCCCCCAATGACAAGAGGCCTTGGTCAGCCCCCACCGTGCCTGTCGGCGGGCAGTGCAGGGGCAGCTTGGCAGGAGGTACTGGCTCCGGAGTGCCCATGAGGTGGCAGTCACCCTGCCCGGGGGCAGGCTTGGCCAGGCCCGGGGGACACCTCAGGGCCCCACCGACAGGGGTCTGTCCTGATGACACGGCTGCTGCCTCTGAGCAGGCAATCCAAATTACAGTGAGGCAGACGCTTCAGTGCCCTCCACGCACTTGTCTGGCAAGTCCGAGACAAGGTCCTGCGGTCACACAGCTCAGCCTCATTCAGTGTGACAGGGAACAATGGCATGAAGATCAGGAGTTGACTGTTCCTGGGGGCCATTGTGGGGACTGGCCACAGG